CTCTGCTAGGTACATTTCTATCTGTGAAATCTGTCGTTGGGTTCCCACTATCGAGAGCTTTCTCGCTCACGAGTCGAAAACTTAATTTTATAATTCAAAATGAAACTGTTATCCTTATCGAACAATAAAATACAAATTTTTCAACTGTTTTTTACAGCTTAAAATTTCGGAAATATTTACAATACGTTTTGTAACTGCATGATGACAATATTAAACAAATTGGCCTTATATACAATAAAATATTGTGCGGTTTCACTAACATCTTCATTATTGTATCGTTTATTATTTAATTAATAATATATATAATATGATAAATCGGCAAAAGTTGAAACAATCCTTATTGCAGGACCGTATTTGAGAACTTTTAAATGAATAGTAATGACCTTATTGTATCCATTTTAAAAATCTAAACATAGCTTGTGGCTATTGACGTTTGTTCGATATCAATAGATGATAGTTTATGTTAAGAGCTTCGGTATTCATATCACTGCTTTTTATAAATTGCTGTTGTACTTCGTAATGATTTAACCCAAAATATTTTAGTCTAAGTCCTTATACGCTTTCTTCACGTTTTCTACCTGTATCTGGTGATTTTCTACTGCGGTTGTATTATAATGTAATAACGAATTTAAAAACATAGAGCAATGATTTGCTTTTATCGATAGAAATTATTTTTTACTTATTTGTAGAGTTTGTTTTCATTGTATTTATTTTGTAATGGTCCCCTATTCATGCTCTATTTTTTACTACACTTGTTAAGAGTTTTCTCTTACCACTTAAGAGACCAGTCTGCGCTGAATAAGTATATTGTTATAATTCGTATAGGCAGCATTTTGGGATAGTAAGAGACAGATTGTTTTTTTTTTTCGCTCTCTTTGATTTATCTAAAATCTGTGCCTCTAAATTTTCTTGTTATTAAATTTGTCGAACTTGTTATATTTTTATTCCATTCAAAATTTCAAATTCAAAAATCATATATGACATTTTAGGTGTGGAATATTTTTATTCCATTAAAATATTAACGTTTATAATTACATCGGGGCGACTTTAATTCGATTTTTTTTTTGGTTCGCCATGAATTGATCTTGCAGATCATTCACATACGGACGCTGTACATTGTATAAATTATGTTAACGTGCCTAAGATACAACTGCAAGGCAATTCAGATATATTTAGAAGTCTTAAAATATTGTAGTAAATAAATGTTTTCTATTCAGTTGTTTAAACTATCAATGTTTCATTTTTTGCACCCTACTGCCGAATGGCCATCTTAATCCAGACCTGCTTACCTTGAGATGGACTCGCGACAGATTATATATGTGTTATGTTATACTTTTTATCAATATGTTTAAACATTTAATTGTCAATTGACCCTTATTCGAAGTGAGTGCTATAGAAAGGAAAGGTCAACTCGCATTGTAAATGAGAAAGTTAATCGAGGAAAGTGTGCGCAACGGATCTGTGGCACTTGTAGCAGTTTCTAAAAATGATAATGTTTGATTAAAGAAAACATCAAACTATTTATTTGTTGTTGACTGACAAGTAACATTACCTGCCTACTGCTTTTGTAAGATAGTTAATCCTTTGTAACGTTACAACTGCGTACGTTATAATTAAGAATTTAGATTAGGTTAAAGTTGTATCAATAATGAGGAATAACGCTCTTGTTACCTTTGAACCACCAGAGTCCTTCTAAATTAATTGAATGAATGTATATTTTTCTTTTTCTCCAAAAATTTTACATTAAATACAGAGCAGAATCATACGGCGCATGCTTGACTGCCACCTTTGTCGTATAAAAAAAACTTGACAGTAGCATAATGATATAAAATTTGTATAGAACGATACCCTAAAATATATCAGAGATGTATGTATGTATGTGTATGTATGTTAGGAAATTTAAACCCCCATCTTAGATATTGTGCAGTTTAAAATAAAAGAGGCAAATATTAACAATAAATACTGTTATACCGAATTTAAAAAATGTTGTAGTTTATTTTATTTATGTATAGGTAAAAGGAAAAAGATTTGGTATACGGAGAAATGTACTTAAATAATAATAATTATTTGATTATGAAAAATATAAAGAGTACGAGTTACTTTATATTCAGGTAAATTATATATCTACGATGAGAATCTGTTAAAAAATAAATCATTTTATATACAACTAGTAGACTCGCGCAACTTTGTCTGCATTACATTTTCCGCGTTATTGAATTTTTGATAGTAGCTTCGCTTCTATTGGCATCTTGTCTATAGTCTTCTTTGATAAATGGGCTTGGAAATTCAAAATCGGATCACTTGGTACTGGTGATTACCCTGAACACCCAAACTTTATCTATTTATAATAAATAGTATAGATGTATCTCTCTCTCTCTCTTACAATGGTTACCATTTAAAACGGTAAAACTTTGTATTAGTTAATCCATTTACATATTATAACTTATTTTGAAAAAATACGGTATATGCATGTGCGATGTTAATTACATACACATTAATATGTACATTATTCATGTATGATATATTGCGGTTTTAAAAATAACATCAAAATTAAGATCAGACTTCAAGGAGAAATCAAAGATCGAATCATTCCTCTCAGGTAAGTCGCATCGAGGAATCCGGCGGCGTAAGATCCTTTTTCCTTTATAAGATCAACCCTAAAATTCCGAGCCAAGGTTGACGAGTGTTTTAGACGTCATTGAAGGGACGTAACTGGATGACATTGATATACCCTCGAAGCAACGTGTATGCCCTTACAGACATTCTGCAGTCGCATCGAATGCGCGCGTTATGTTAGTATACGTGTTTTGTTTTACTTATTTTACAAAAGTATATTTTATCTTTACGAAATGTAATAATATCAATATTATCTTTTACAATTAAAATAGATTTTTTATACATTAGTTCGTTTTTTTTTGCAATAGATACGCTCAAAAAGAATATTAATGATTTACATAGGCTGTGTTGAACTCAGATAACACGGCAAGATATACATAGCTAGTGAAAAATAATTATGATCAGTCACACTAAATGCATTTTTGTTTTATTCTTTAAATTAAAACTAAATGTTTTATTACACAAACCTATTATACATATATAGAAATACCTATATCTATTTACTGTGATCTAATGAATGAGTTTTTTTTATTATTTAATCGTCTTATTTACTTTTTTTAATATTCTTGATGTCAATTAAATAATAGTAAAATCAGATAAATAAATCTACACAAAATTTAAAATAAACTATCAGAATATTGTATTATTTTGAAAATTATAAGACAGTAACGTCGAGCGGGGCGTTCAAGGTTTTACACGGGGGCAACAACTTCTTCCTTCGTGCACTGAACCAAGTTCCAATTGCAACTGAATATTTTAGGTTTGGTACCGTAGTTGACTATAACGTTGCACAGTTTCAAAGTTTTGTCATTCTTTAATATATTGATTCGACTACTTGAAATTAGTGACAGAAAGCTCTACCAAAAATCTATCCTAGTCTGTATCTAGATAATTTGGGTAGTATTTAGATAGTATGGTTAACACACCACTTTTTATTGAATGAAAATAAAATTTAATATACGTTAATTTCTATATTTAAAAAAACGACAATACCTATAATAAAATAAATAAGTTAAAATAAACAATTTTTTTTTATATTAAATACAAGAAATAGTCTCATTTATGACATTGTTGTTATTTATCTACCTACTATGTTGTTATTAACAACTGCAATATTATATAGAGTTGCTCTAACTCCACTCACTTTTGGATGACTTGTATGGCGGATTTGAGTTTCCAATATAATATTACCCACCATAAAAGTAATACGAAAGTAAGTGTACGGCGACTCCTAAATTTTGTGATATTTTGTCACAAACTCTACATATGTTCAGTGGTTTTGTAACAATAAAAACATTGTTATACCCAAAATTACATTTCGCTAATAACTTTGTTAGTTAATAATACCTACACCGTACCCGGCTTCTAAATTACCAATTTATTTTACAATAAGTAATAACATTACATTTTGTGATATTATATGTTACGGTTATATATTTACGGTCTTGTGACAATTAATACATTGTTATATTTAAACTTGCGTTTCGCTAATAATTTTGTTAGGTTCTATATCATAATCTAACAACTACACCGTACATTCCTTATAATTAGATTTTTTGTTGGATGTTCGAATGTTTGAGCCATCCCGAGCTGACAAAGCAAAAGTGAATGTTAAAAACAACAACAATTATCGATCATGTCTTCTAGAGAAACCTCGTCAACCTTACTCTGACGGAGTATAGGTATTTAGCAATGTCAATACTTCTAGCATATTACATTGTATACAGTATATACATTCAGATATTTTTATACATTCTCATATGTGATTTTAGGTACTAAAGACAATCAATCTTTTGGTAGGTGGAAATATTTAATCTGTGCTAATGACAATTTCTTAGGACCCACGAAATTTGTAGACACGATTCCTAAGGTTGTTTTAATGATTCTTGAATATGGCGTTGGTTACTTATTTTGTGGAACGATACTAACGCAACTTGTCTGTGTGTGCCTATGTGTATATTCAATGACACTAGACTTGCTTTGGTTCATTTTCTTTTATATCTCGTCTCAAACAGGCCCACTGGATTTAGAAACTTTATTGTTTGTTAAGCTTTTATACACGACTTTTCTTAGGTATCGGCATTGATAAATAACTTTATTTTTTATTATGATTTCAACAATTCTGAGTAAATAATTTCGTTGGGAAAATAAATACAATTTATATGTATCCATATAAATATGTAGCGATCAAAACAACACCAGGCTTAAGCTTTCACTATTACAATGGAAACAGAGAAAGGGTCCGTGTTGCGCAGCTGTCCCGCGGGCGCCGGTGGTCGGGCACTGGCGCTCCGCCCTCACTGACCCCGCGCCTCCACACCGTTCTCTGCTCGGCGAGAGGAGCATTCACAATACAACATAGCGTAACCGACTCGACCCCCCAACCGCAGACTTCGCCATTCCAGTCGCCCGTCAAACGTCGAGCGTATCAAACGTCTGTCGCGGCGATAAAAAAAACTTATTAGCCATGTGGTGAAGTGAAACTGTCAAACGTGATACAATTGCGTATAGCTGTGTAGTTTGGTTTCAGTGGACACTATTAAACTTTATTGTTTGACTTGTGGTGATTTGTTTGTTCGAAGTGGTGCCACTGTTTTGGAAAATTGGATTATACGAAAGAATAATGGCCTTAGCCAGGTGAGCTATTTTGGTTGTTGGAGTCAACACGGAACTAGTTTATTTTATCATACTCATCGAAGGACTTTCCGTCGGTTGGTTTATTTGATTTAGATCATTCGTGACAGGTACGGATTATGATTACAGTTCAATATCAACAACTGATTTGGTTTTAGGGATCTTACAGCTATTGTGTTTATCTGTTAGATCCTTTAATTATTAATTACGTTATTATGGTGTGTTGGTTTCATTTGTTTTAACCGATGTCGCTACAATAAGCGAAAGTTGCTTAGCCCCGCACACGCATTTACCTTACTTTCCTTGTTGTGTAAGTTGAACATCTAACGACATGTAACAGAGGGAGCGATTTAGAAATCAAATTAATTGTTACTAACAATTATTGCTAACACTTCAAACAAGTTTCTATTTATCCGGTACTTTTGTATTATGCATCATTATTCCAAATTAACAATCTTCACTAAATCTGAAGTTAAACTTTTCTATAAATGCATAAACCATAAAATATTTTGTTTATTCTACAACTTTTCTTTACTTCATCGCACCCTTACTTGTTGTGACGCCTATGTGGCCCTACCCCAATAATGTGAACCCTTTTATATCTGAGGGTTCATTGATAAATAACTAAATATCTACATATGAATACCTACGTATTTCTGAAGGATTTAATGTACAAAAGTTAACATTTGTATTATTATTTTAGTGATGTCACTTGGTTGAGATTTTTATAGTTTTATAATAAATGCATATATTATTCGTATTATCTATTTTTTTACCGATGACTATCAAGTTAAAGAAAATAAACAAAACATGCAACTAACTTACACTGTAAAACAATAGCACCTTTAAACCAATAAGGATTTAAATATAATGTATAATATGCCTCTCTCGCTTAGAAAGCTATTGGATTCATAAGCAGGTAGAAAATATTCTGAGACCGGATAGCCTTAAGCTCGCAGTAACATTGTTCTGTTTTGCTTTTTGTTGAAAACACTCCCGACTTCTTTCGTGCTCAAACTTTTCTCTATTCATTCAAAATAACCTTGTTTATTAATTCAAATCTGATTGATAAATGATAGGTACTATTTTTGATTATAGATGAATGCTGATTTAGAACTAATAAACATAATATGAATGAATACCTGTTAGCAATTACATTTAATTACTGATAATGTGATTGGAATGACAATCAACAAAATTATATTAGTTAATGACAGTGCAGTACGTTCGAATTTTTACTTAAATCGATTCTTAACGCCTATAATGTTTTATAGTCAGACTTTATACTTACAGTGTAAAGAATTTAATAGAATAAATTTATGATTTATTATATTTTACAGTAATATATTCAAGTAGTCTCGATCATTTATTTCTCCTATTTTCTTTATTTCTAAGATATCAGTTTGAGGATAAAATAAGGATTTGAGATGCTATCCTGGGGGAGTCACCCTGCTCAAGTATAATAAGCCTATATAGCGATATTTACACTTTATTATATCATATCAATATCATTATAACATTAGGATCTTTGATAAATCATATAAGAACTATGAGATTATTGTTTGCTAAAAAAATGTGAATCGGATGTTTACTGTGGAACTTTATTATTGAAGTAAAGTGAATTATTTAAATTGACAGAATATACCTTATCATTCTCCTTGGTAAACGAGGACGGTGGGATTTAAGTACCTAATTGAGTTTAATGCTATCGCAAAATTGATTACGGGCTTTAAACCAGATGTTTCTGTTTCGATTGTGTTTCAAATAAGTTGGACGAGGTTATTTCGCAAGAATGTATCAATTTAGCCGAGGGCCGGTGAGCGTTGGGCGTTCACAAAGCTAAAGATTGCGGCCGAACCCGCTCTCAATGCTCCGTATGCTCCTGTTTCGCTGACAACGGAATGCGATAACTAAAGTGGGTTTTGGCGGCACCGACCGACGTTGTATTTCGGTTACGATAACGCTCAGTTAAACTGAAATGTCCGTTTGCTGGTTTAAATAATGAAACGTAAATCGCAAAGAATGTTGTCATTGAAAAAGATAATCTTATTTATTTTTCTCTGGCTATAATCCAAGTTCTAATAGCGTCACGAATACGCCATTTTCAGATATTTGCAGCTAATCATTAATTCGTTGTCCTTATTATGATGAAGTATGCTAATTAGTGTAATTAGTTAACAAATAATTCACCACGGTATTACATAATATATTATCATTTTTAAGTTCGCTCTTCGATGTAACCATTATGAATTTCCAGCTGTGCTTTATTATCACGTTGTGTACATAGCACAAGGCCAAGGCTATTTAAACCATTGCTGAAGAATACCTACTCGTAAAAGCGAAACATTACTTTGTAATTGTGAATAGAATTAATAACGCATGTTTGATCGACGTTTATTTACTCTTTCAAAATAGTCTTTGTAACATTATGTTGCTGTCATATTTCTTTTGGTAAAATCTTTGGTGAAACTTCATAATTTGAATAGCGTCTTTATCGATGGAAAGTGCGTCGTCGTTTCTTCTTCGGCTCGATGCGTGGCGCCTTCTCTTTTGTACGATGATCTCGATTATAGTTTCACTATCTTCACATGTTAAATCCTCTTGCTTTTCTTTTGCTTAAGCCATTTAACATGTTCCAATAATTTTAAATGTCAAGGATACGCTTATATCCATTCTATCAATACATATTGTTGTCAATCATGCCTAAAAAGGTCAAGGGATTAAAGGAATTAGTTCACTTACAACTTTTAGATATTTCTTTTGATTTAGTGCTGTATGCTGGTACATTTCTTTTAAAGAGCACTGATGATAAAGTATTAGTAATTTAGTTTCTTTATATCTAAAATACCCGAAAGGTATTTATTGTGTAAAATATTAAACAACAATTTATTTGCATAATTGTGCACTGGGCTGCATTGACAAAACTTAGAATAGTATTGCTAGATTTCGGATTGTTTTAATACATCCTGTACTGAGCTACTTTTATTTATTATATAGCCAACACAATACATTTAATAATACATTTGCTTGTACGGAAGTTATGGAACGTGAATGCAACTGCTTACAATGTGTGCACATAGTGAGCTAAGTATTAAATAACAAAAGTAGACGGTTAGCGGTGGAATATATACTTTCTAAATATATAAATAGTTATTAGTAGTGGTGTTTATATTTGTATAGGTATATTGAAATTATGGTATAATGATTAAAAGACTACCTAATAGGTTTCAAAGAGTAACATAGATCAGTAATTATTGACTATTTGAATTTCTCATCAAAATTATCCATAGGTAAATAATTAGTCATATATTCATATTTGTAAATAATTATTGGCATCGTGGCATATTCGCTACATTTAGGACGTTTAAGTAAGTGTATTTTGTTGCTATAAACAATAAAAATAAAAAATAATATACGGATTCTATAGTATATCTGTTAGTGTTTTTATTATATTACACGCCCCGTGTAATATAATAACACTAACTTGTTTAAAATTTTTATATAATAATACAGTTCTTATATTGTTAGCCATGTATGCCATACATGCCATACTTTAGTGCGAAGTTTTCTATCATTTACTTTAATGTTTAATTTAGTTTTTCATTAGAATAATGTTCATGTTATATTATAAATGGCGCTAATATTATGAATCCACGCCTTTCAAACTAAACGCTTGAGCAATAATTACATTATCGTGAAATCAGCCATATGTATGTATGTATGGCACTCAGTAAGTAGAAGGACATAGACTACTTTCTATCCCGGTCAAACATGGTCACGAAGACGAATTTTAGAGCAGAAGTTAGTAATAAATAACCCTGTACATATCCACCACATTCTATAGGGCAGGATCCATTGCCTTGTACTTTAAGGGGTTATTATATATGATAGACTTTTGTCCTTACATTGACACCGCAGTGTGTGGCAGCAGATATATTGTAACAATCAATATATTGTTGGTTAAATAGATAGATATCCGTAAGTATGTACAAACTAACAAAGTTCGCTAAATGCTTACTAGACCACAGAAAACGCCTACTTACAGTTTGTTGCCAATATATGAACAATTATTTAATGCGTTATACGAATCACAGTATAATTATAGATATATCTAGCAATATATAATTTTATCCGTGGTCGATTTAGAGCACGGTAACGTGTGGCGTTAATTTGCCGAGGGAGCAATTCGGAACGGGGACATCGCGAGTACTCCAACGTTTCATCGGAGAGTCGCGCGCGTTGACCCATTTTGTGCGTAACACGGCATGGTGCGTTAAGGAATCGATGATAATATAGGTAGCAGCCGAATCTCGAGGCCTTCACAGCGAGTACACTGATGAGTTCGAAACGGATCTGTGTCAGGGTCCTCCCCCGTACGAGCCCTGCCTGCACCCTTCGCGTCCCTCTACCTCCCACGCCACGCTAGTAATAGGCAACTCCTGTGTCGGTTGACCTGTAAACTAGAGTACTTATTTGTGTTTCGCCTTACTTACTCTTTAATGATTCAGGGTCACTCTTTTTCATCTTGTTATATTTAGCACGCGTATAATCATTCATTACTAAATAAAATACGCTGTTTTATTAATTATTTGTTCTTACATATATATCTATATAAAAACTAAGAAAATTCATTTTCGTGAGTTCAAAACATTTATAATTATTTATTATTTATTTATTTACAAAATTAGTTATTGGTTAAGTTTTGCCATCTTTAACAGATTTATGGCTGTTTCATTGAGAAGGGTGATAGCAATTGAATTTGGATAACAAGTAATAATATTTTAATGTAATAATTTTATTTACCTCATATAAATCATAATGAAGAGAATTCTTTCACCACACAAAATATGTAGGAACATTTAATCTTCATCTAGTAGTAAAATGATGATCGACCTTTGTTGCCCCGTCACCTTCGCGGCAGCTGACGACGGCGGCGTCGTCGGCATTGTCGCCTCGACGCCAATAGGAAGCTGCGCGCAGATTGCTATTGGGCTTAAGGCCATTTTCAATGCACCATCTTTTACCTTGTGCCCCTTATTGTGAGGCATGACCCAAAACCAACGAAGACCGAGCTAAGTGAAAATCGACCACGCAGCTGTAATAAATATACTCAGAAGTTGTCGATGAAACTTTCGAAAATTGTCAAATACAATGACAGTAGTAATTTTGAAAACAATATATAAACTCATGAATTACGTGCCTTAACTCAAAGATTTCTTTATTTAATTATATATGAAACTTACAAAATATATTATATGGAATGGAAGTTCTTAGGTGACCTAATGATGATGAATTTTACATTTAAATTGTGTTAGAAAGCATTTTAAGGTTTAATTGTTATAGATAAAAGTGAGAGGCAGTCTCTTAGAAAATATATACTTCTTTTTAAAGCATTTCTTATAATATGTTTTGTATGAAATTTAGATAAGGTATAGATTATATGAAATCAAATGGTTCGGCTTTCGGTTGAGAAATGATTTTGAAATATAGAAAGCAATTTTAGTTCTAAATATTTATAATAATCGTTAGGGTGTTATGACATTCACTTGATTAGTTTTAAACTCTTTCTGAATTAAATGAACTTTGATTCATTTAACTAAGAAAGAGTTTAAAACTGAATTTGTAACTTTTTTAGAATATAAAATATGGATCATAACTATTATAAATTCTAAGAATTTTTCATTTACACAACTGTCACTGCTAAGCTATCGCTGGCAAACAGCGTTAGAAGTCTCTGCTGTAAATACTCAATTCAATATTAATTGCAAAAATATTTTATAAAATTTTTCACCAATGGAATTGTGCTGGAGAGAGGAGGGGGAGTTCATTTTATTTCTATAAAATTAAATAAGTGAATTAGTAAGACCAAAGATTTGTACATCATTCAACTTAAATAAAAAAAAATACTACATCAATTAAAAAGGAAGTGATGTCAGTTATGCGTGCCCTAAATTTGATTTAGACATCGTTAAAGTAGAACAGAATGTCAAATTCAAGGTTAACCGAACAAACTTATTTTAAACAGTAAAATTTTGCGTTAACTTTAATTGTAGACGCCTCGCCTTGAAAATGTATATCTTTTGTGAAAATTAACTTTTGTTTCGCGTATTCTCAATCTTTGGTGCTGTCGTCGGTAAACTTACAACGGTATCAATACTAAATATTATTGTATGTAAATACTTTCAGAAAATGTTTTATTTCTCAATTTTCAAACATTTTAACATCCTCTTTATCTAGTGTTTCTTAATCCACACAGTGTATATAGAAATACTAGACGTGTACGTCCGCCTGGTTATGCGTACGGCCTCAACCGAGTTTTGTCGATGCTTTCTCGAGCGGCGAACCAGGTCGCGTTCTCGATGTCCGATGCTGGCTGCTTGCTACCTATAGCTACGGAGCACCGATGCCAACCAGCATCTCGACGAGCTTGACGAACACACACCAACACATTTATACACCCACTACAATTAGTGTGTATTGCAATGAATGTGTCAGGGCTACAAAATAATTTACAATAACACTAAACTACCTATCAATACATTGGACTGCTGATTAATATTTGTTTTAAATACCAGAAGGTTATAGTACTATATAACTGCGGTATAAAGAGGGTGTTTATATTCATAATCACTAACACTAACTGGACATTGAATCTGCTAGATAGATTTCAATGTAATTGACAGCGACGACCCTCACATGTGTTCCAGGAAGTAGTCTCCTACAATTTATATTAGGCTGAAGTCAAGGTCTTGCCAATCATTTCAGCCATCTAGTTACTTGTAGTTCTAGGACAATAAAATTTGAGGCCAAATGACTGAGTAAGGCCTTTTTCAATACCAGTCTTAAAAGGCTACTGTATAGACTATGCTTTTCTGTTGACTATGCCTATGACGATTGTAAACGTCTTTTATCCAAATTCAACGATTGCAGATGCTGGTGTAGCATTTTTTAAATCGGTGTGTTTAATTTACTTTCCTTTGCATGTCTACTTATATCTGGTTTATCTTTATTAGTACTCATTACAAATACTAAAATTTATATTTTCATTGACTTGATACCTGTTTGCATATTCATGGTAAAACAATGTGGAACATAGTGCAATAGGGCCGAGGCGACACAGTTTCTTGTTTATTTAATAAATCAATTTGTCCTAGTTAGATTAACGCCTTAACATAGCGATATACGGTGCGACTGATTTTTTTATTCCATTTCATATCAAATGTTAATTTATTATTTCATCTTTCATTATTTGACCGGTCTGTAATGGTCTGACGTATTAGGCGACGTATTGTACATATAACTTAAGTATGTAAACTCTTGCTCACATCACTCCTTATAGCTTGAACATTGTCAAGTACTATTTTCATAGTTTCAATATAATCTCAAACAAGCGTATGACTATATTATGTACATTTTATTTTCTCAGAAATACTTTAAATAATCCATAAATGCGACTGTTTTTTTATTACAAACAGATTTCTTATGGCAACACTGTATCCTCATAGTTTCCTGTAAATACATTCCTGCTTAAAATATTAGTGTTTGTACAGCTTGCTTGTACAAATGCTATTTTAACAGTATATCTAGATAGAATATAGTAGTATATCAGTTAACATGTTTACCACTTGAACCGCTCGGCTCTTGTGCGTACAGTTTCTGAATTGGTCGTACGTCCTCGGCCTCGCTCATTTGCTTCCGCCTTGTTGCTTATCCTCGCTCTACCGATGCCCATGATAATCTTTTGTATTGCGAGCCTTGATCCTAGTAGACCTTACAAGCATGTACCATGTCGTTTGATTTTTTTTATTTGTATTATATCAACGTTTTGATTTCCTTTCTAGGTATAATCAGCAAACTGCCCGCTCCTCTTGGTTAAAGTACGTAATACTTTTAATTATATTTCATAGCATATTTTGGTATTACATTTTAAACTAATTTATTTCCGGATAGCGTCATGTGAGTAAGAGTTAATAGTTATCTTTACACTAACGTTCGTTTATTAGGCCACGTGCAAACAGGTAGGCGTGCGTGCGTCGACGTCACACCTCTAGCCTATGAAGGTCGTGACGTAACAAGTCTCACAATTCAGTCTGTGTCGATCCATCGCTCGATTCCTCACGAGGCCAAACGTTCTACTAAGCGACAGCGGAGGTTAGCCGTGCTTTTATATTTCCGTCTCTGTTCCACAACCTCAAGATTATCGCATTGAAAAAAGGAGGAATCGAATATTTAATAATCAAGAAACACTGTTTTACACCCAATACCAGGAAATAATATTAAAAATAATAAATAACATCTTTTTAAATTACAAACAGCCTATAAATATGTTTACTGTTGTCGAATTTGCACCATCAGAAAACAATCATTATTGACCTCACTTTGGTTTACGTACGTATCTATCTGTTTTTAATTGGTTACTGTTTTTCAGTACGAGTACTTCCTATATGTATTAAAAATTAAGAAAATGCTCTTACAAGGACTCGTGCTCAGAAGTGAGACAATAATGAAATACATTTATGTTGATGAATAAGAATAATGATAATACTTTTGATAACTGTACAATCTACATAGATTCGATATATTATATCGAATCTATGTAGATTGTACAGTTGTTGCCTGATCTATCTGTCTTGGAGCTATGCCAATATTCTTGTGGAACTAGTGTTATCTAAAACCCATGTCTACGAGCGTCACCTTTTTACTTAATACTCATTGATTACTGCTACCAGAACTCAAATATTTATTTATTTAATATTGCACTTTAAAAAATTGTACAATTTGGCGAGCTTAATGCCATATAGCATTTTCTACCAGCTAACTATTAGGTAAGAACAGAAAGCGATTGATGGGCAGTGGTGGGAAAGAACTAACCTATAATTTTACCTAACATAGGTAAATCGGTAAATATTATATAGATTCCTTACTTGCCTGATTTCTTTCTATTTAATTTAATGAGTATATCTTTCTATTGAATTTAATGAGAAAGTATATCGTTATCTCTGTGGTGCTGATCATGTATTTTCTACTTAATTGTTCATGAATGCAGTTGCTAGAGAAAGTTCTTGTAACTCCTTTAGCATTCCGTACCAATAATCCTTGGAGAAGTTAAGAAAGTCACTCGCTTTGTTAAAATTAATTTGAGTAATTTGTAGGCGGATTTTCTTTGTGATGTAAACTACATGACCTATCGATAGTGTGTACAATTCCCATATAATACAAACTCTCAAAGACATACACATTGTGATAATGCTTATAGTGGTCTAGACGGTTTTCTATTACACTTAATATAAGGTCACGTTTCTTCCATTAGGGTGGGATGAACTGTAACAATAATATTCCTTTCCAAACCTAGCAAACTTGTGCTTCCCCTGCATTCATCTATTGATAAACATTCGTTAATTACGGATGTTTTCTTATAGTTTCGTGTAATGATAAGATAAAGACCCATGTGGACGAAAACTAAAACCTTTATTTTTGGCCAATTCTCGGCTGGGAAGATTTATTGATTTTATTTTTTACCTCTTTGTATTGAGATTTAAAATTGAACCTATATTTGCTAGAGCTTTGGTGAAAACTGCATTCAATTCCATGTAGTAGTAGTTTTTACGCGAATCATGTACGAACATATTAAGAGACAAACATAAATTTTAAACCTACTGTTTTGGCTTCTATTCCCTCGATGTATTTTTTTTTATATCTGTAACCTATTGCGTCCCACTGCAAGTTTGTTCCTGCTTTAGTAATATTTTACTGATTGAGGTCGAAGCCAGAACGAACTGTCATAGACATTGCACAGTGGATTGACTCTTATAACATCTTTCCCTTTTCAAAGTCAAGTTCGTAATTCTAATGTTTCCAAGTTCATAAATTTATTATTAAAATTATATTTTATCTCCGTTACGTTTCGTTTTATATCGCCTTTATAGTCATAATAACATAGTATAAGTAGATGCAATATACATACAAAAATTTTAGTATTACTATATCTTGTACCGTAATAAAGATATAAGAGATACTATTCTGGCCTTATTGAAAATTTACTGTTGATTATTACTAAGTTACATGATGGGATCGCAACAGTAAATTTTCAAATAAAATAATCTCGTATTTATTTATTAGTTTTGTCCCAATATTGACTTTTATATTATCTAGTCATTTACATAATATATTATGTCATATTAAACTACTAATTAATTTGTACGTATAAAAGTGTTTTACAGTAAAGAAGGAAAACCTTTGAATGCAAATAATATCAATTTTGGCTGTTCTGTTATTGAATATTTATATTTATCTTTCAATGTCAAAACGATAACAGAATATAAATATTTATTAATCTCATATTCTATCAATTCATATACTACTCTTTAGGTACCTGTTTACTGTGTAATGAATATATCACTATTCACAAGTATGAAGTGTTATATAGTAAACTAGCGACCCGACCCCGCTTCTCACGAGTGTTTATTATTGTGGACATATTTCTCTTTAATAAAGTGACTTTATATACGGGAAATATTTAAAATCGGTTGTTTTTTTTTAGTTTATCCATTACAAACTAAAATAAAAGCCTTTCTTCACAATATTAGTGAAGTTAAGTATTGTTATTATCTCTGGTTAGAAGTTACTATAATAAAAATACAACATATTATTTTTATTATAGTAACTTTAAAAATAACATTCAATTCTAATTATATATTTAATTTGATTGATTTGATTTTTGACGTATATATTTACATATGTCTATATATAAATACTTACTTATCTTTAGGAATATTATTTTTAATGAAAAACTTATGCCTACTCCTAATAATAGGATAAATTATGAGACAATGATGATGATACTGATTTTTTTGTCAATAACAATAGACATGAAGAGCTTTGCAGTTAAAGCTTTGCATAATATTAAATAAAAGATTGAGGTATAAGACTTCAATCTTTTTTTTGTAGTATACATAATTAATTGACCAGTTATATTTTTTTTTATTTAAAACAGTATTTTTAAACTGGAAATTATTATCGTTTCTTTAATAAGTCAAGGTCTTTTTTTTATAAAAAATAATATGTTTTCTACGAAACCACACGGGGCTTCAAAAGTTGATTTTTTTTATTATAAAATAAAGATTGAAGTGGGATTACAAATTGACAAACGTGTGATTACAAATTAATTATAAGATGACATAAAAAAATAGTATAATTGAGACCGTATTTATTCCCTTTCGAAGTTGGTTGAAAATTGTGGAGATTGGAAGATTCACACACGTCGGGAACGTGTGCGTCCGCATGTCACACAGTGCTTACCTCGGTCACCTTGTATGTCCCCGTACATCGGTCGGACGAATAGAGGTGGCGCCTAGTTCCGCGTTCGCGTAAATCTATTACAAGTACCATCTATATCTAAGTAGTATTATTAGTGTTTATTTATAATACTCACTTACATAAGGTAATCATTTCAATCCATATCAATTGTAATCATAGCCTCTGTTTTAAAAGTGTTTTAAAATTAAATACGAGAGTTCGACATGAGATCTAACGTGTGAATAAATAAAAAGAATTCATTAGAAAGTGAGGTTTTTACGTATAATGAGGATTATTTTATGCACCTTGGAATGACACCTACCTACTACTGCAAGTACCTACTGCAAGTGTTAAAAATCGCCTGCAAACAGGAGGTATGTCCTTGCGTAGTAATGGACCTCAAAAAATATACTTACTTTGATATTAGAATGTCTTATTTTGTTTTGCTCTTACATTACTGCCTCCATAATATTAAGTTTTATCTCTGCTAAATAGGTACCTACGAGGATTATATAAAAGATGTATTTTATTCATCTTTTTCGCAATTATGAATCGCGATGAGTTCTCGAATAGTTCAGATTATTTGGAGCAGTAAACATAGAATAGTGATCTACTCTGTACTACAGATACTTTAACATAAATATTAAATATTCTTGCTGTTTTAAAAAAAATAGAACTAAGACTTATGTGTTAGGACCACCCACAGACACAATAACAATATTTAGCTTTTCCTCCCTTGTGCAGAATAAACATTGAAGTCAAAGGAATGACTTAGTATAGGGAAGTTAGTTTTCCATTTTGCGAAACAATTGGTTTTGACATTGAGATGTTATTGTTACATATTGCAACGGACTATGAGACGATGACGACTTCTACGGCCTTGGATATATCGTGTGTTTGATTCACACGTCACACCTATTAATTTGTTGTTCGCCACCTATTTAAATACTTATATTATGAGCATTTGCAAGGTAATGAAATTATTCGAAATTTTTACTTTCAAATTGTTATTCAGTTTACATGATAACATACTGCAATAACAATAACAGTATTTACAAAATATTTTTGAATATATTATATTCATTTATTGATGGAAACCTCGACTATTCAAATTCCCAAGTTAAATTATAACTTTTATTTGTTTATAGGCGAATTGTATTACGTTAATTCATACTGAGAATCTAGCTAACCCAAATCTTATTTTGAAAATTAAGATTTGGGTTTTATTTATTTTTTTATAAAATAAAAGTAACTTAACTGACCGTTTTGGATGATTTGTTATGTTATACTAGACCACATTGCTCTGACATCTGTTTTATAATAAGCACATTTATTCAATATTTTCTGGTATTCCATTGAGGCTAAAGTATGTATGTGAATTCAATGTCAATTCCATGTTATAAAGATATTTAATGGGTCGACGCTAGAGAAACAACGCAATCACACCTAATTTTGAAACAAATAATTTGTCCCGATGATTTTGACTAACAGATATTAATTAATTAAGTTTTTGTGTATAGTAGCTTGTAAAACTATTAATATTTGAGAGAAATGTGTATAATATTACAGACTTTCTCTTAAA